GTGGACTTAGAAAGCTGTCAGTTGCAACTGTGACTGATGGGCTGAGTCCGCCCTGGGTGCCTCCTCTCTCTCGGGCCGAGGCCATCTCCAGCCTGCCTTCCCCTCCTGCTGGGAGTGAGGGGGCTTGGCTAGAGCTATCTTCCCTTCTCCTCCCCCCAGGGCTAGACCCACGCTCCCTCCTAGGGACCCTATTCCCCCCCAGACTATCTAAAAAGGCGGGCGTCCTCGCACTTTTCCAGGTCAGTGCGATGGGTTGTCGCCTTGCGGTGCGTGGCGCACGCGCAAGACAACCCTTCGCACCTTCGAAGATACAGGACAATGCAGACAATGAAATGAGAGTTTTTATTGCAGAATTCACAGCACATACAATAACAACAGTCAACAGAAAACATGCAGGTCAAGAATAAAATACAGCACTGAATCGGGACATTACAGATCAAGCCACTGGTAACAAAAATCAAATGTAACAAAAAGCAGCACACATTGTCGAGAAGAACCTGCCAACGCACGACGAGTTGCTGGAGTAGATTGGAAAGGAGATCATCGGAGCGCAGAGAATCAGAAGCCGCAGAACTGAAGGCAAAAGAAAAAGGATCAAGTTAACAAGACATCGGACTTGCAGAAACAATTCACTTGAAGTTCTGAAGTCTTAACTTTTAAAAAAAAACTGCCCCAATAAAGAAACATACAAACACGCTCAAATTCAACAAGCAAACAATAGGTAACATGAGAAATCCCAGATACACCCCGGTCCTACTACTATAATATTTAGAAAGTAGGTTCAGCCTATTATGAATAAAAGAATCCATAAAAAAGAACCAGCGCTTTTGTATTTCCTATTTGTATTCAGCAAAAGCACAACTAACCGAAAACGTTAGTAGAAAACCTTTCTGGTGTTAAAATGCTGTGAAATACGAGTCGTCTTTAATACACCAATTTTGCACAAATATAAATAGTTTAGCGTAAGGTAGGAATAAAACTTACCGCGGAAAAAAAACACTCTTCACCTGGAGAAACAAGAAAACATATGAATTAGTACATTTAATATTTGCCAAAGTTGATCATTTGGGAACGGAAAACGATATTATAACCCGATTCCGAAAGGTGGGGATACTAACAATTAGATAAACAGTTAGTAATTTTTATACAGCAAATTATTTAAGATAAA